CACGTGACCTGCCCAGGTTGAGTTCAATAAGATATGAGGCCAGGGCTAATCAATGGCAGCTAACGTTTCAATATGTGAGATCAATCGCGGAGAGCAGTTGGCTGATGACGCACTTGTGTTGTGCAAGCTTTGATTCCTTTCAACACATGCATCATATACTGCCATCGCTACACATGATGCCAAATCAACACTCTGCAAATCCAAGCCGGATGTCTGACAAAGGAAAATCCCTCCATATTTCTAAGCTGATCAGCCTCACAACATATGAGCTGAACTCGTGGCTAGATAATTGCATTGTACATGTCATCTAATTAAACCCCTATAAGCACATACAGGGATCTATCAGTGGAGATGTTAGCATGATAGCATGTTTGAGCAAAGAGGCGGCACGTGTGGGTGTGTGCTAGCCTCCTCAATCCCTCTTTGCTCCCTAGAGGGGAAAAAAAATTGCTGCAATCACTCCATTAGCCAAAAGAAGAGAAGGAGGGGGGAGCGGACACAGCTGACTTAGCCAATAACAGCAAATGAGGTTAGATCCAAGCAGAGAGGGGAGCTAGGAGGGTCAATGAGTGTTGAGGACATGGACACAATGACGAGAATAGGGAGGGGCAGCGGGGGGAGCGGAGTGACAGGGGATAAAGAGTGCTGGGGATGAAGTGAAGGAGTGGACAGATGAAGCAGCAGCAGAAATGGAGACAGAGGAGACGAGCAAGGCCCGGAGAGCAGGATGGATGGAGGTGGGCAGGGTCAGCGGACAGCAGATCTGTTCACTGTTCAGACTGCACACTTACAAGGAACAAGCGATTAAATTGACTACAGTGGGGAGAAAGACAGACAACAAAATGGGCTGTTTACATGTACCAGAGAAAAAAAAATTAATCGGTAAATGTAGAGAACTCACAAGAAACAGAATTTTCACAAATTCCTATGTCTCTCATGAGGTCATGAGAGCAGCCCTATACTACAATACATGTTTAGATAAGGCCTTAACATGAATCAATATTTATTGATTTCATAAAAAGATTGTGTGAACAAGATATGAGATTTAGAATAACTTAGAATAACCAAAACTAATGTTTTGGTCATAAGAATAAAGATAAAACTAAAGGAACAAATTAGCCTTTTTGTGCGTCATTTAAGATTCCGTTTTCAGGAAAATGTGCAGTCTTTTTCAAAAGTAGACTCAAATACATCCTCTTGCTTCCTGTGAGACAAATATGTCAACTGCTGTCAATAACAAACAAGTGGCCTTGGCGTAAACAGTGGTACTGTCCATAAGAGAGTATATTTATATATATATGTGCAGACAGGATGCACAGCTGGAACAATCACCGCTCATCAAATATAGATGTAAACACTAAACAAGGTCATGGTGCGGGGGTAAACTGAGATCGAGAGAAAACACCAGAGAACGCTGCTCCGGAGTGGTGTGTAAAGTGCTCGGGTTACAACAGGTGCAGCCATGTTTCAAAGATAGAGAGACTTTTGGGCATTATGTTGAATGCACTTTGATATCATAAGATATCCCAAGATGACATGAAAAAAATTACTATTTTATTTTATATGCACAACAAAAGGATAAAACAATCAAAGCTGTTTAATTAAAATAGAGAGTGTTATTGGGCACGCATCAATAGCAATAAATATTCCTTGCTGCTTACATATCCTCTGTATTATATTTGACTCATGGAATTTTATGCATGTTTTTTTTTTATGTAATGTATGGGCCTCACTAAAAAACTACATTTCCTTGTAATGGAGTTTAAAATGGCCTCTTCCTTGTCATCTCTGTTTCTGGGCAGACATTTTAGGACAAAAGAAAAAGGCTAAAATCCATGTCAATCCATGATCAATAAGTCGCAGGCAGAGGTTAGACTGGGCACCGCATATGCCACTGGTGTAGGTAAACATTCACAAAAGAACAATTGTCCTGTGAGCCGCATATGACCCCAATAATGCATATAATGATTTTTTGAGCATGTACGGCAAAGAAGACGCAAAGCATATTGGACACAGAGATGTGGAGTTTTCAGTCTTAACCGCACTTGCAAGATTGATGGATGTGTTGAAGATTTCTTCACAGCGCTAATTGGATTCACAGGTCATTAAATAAAGTACATGAGTGAGACTGTTATAGTCTAAAGACTGAGGGAAAGGAGGAATGGACAAGGAGAGGTGATATCGATGAGGCCGTTTGGTTCATCCCTCCTCCCGCCTCTGCAGTAGCTCAGACTGAGGGCTGATCGATAATCCAAGAGGGAGAGAAAACCGGGGGTCGCAGACAGAGCAGGAGAAGGATGAGCACTCAGGAAATAGTGGGATGCGGTGATGGCTGGGGTGGGAGTCATTCACGAAAGGCATTTGATTAGAGTAGAGTTTCATTCCCTTGCAAAAAGTGGAAGACATAATACATAATGGAAACAGACTCAGATGGAACAAATCTCTACATTTTAGTCTCATCAAATTCATTGTTTTAGTGTGTATAAAAGCACTTGCCGTACAGTGAATGAAGTAGTGGAGCTAAAACAAATGCGTAGCCTCATTGCAACCCCATCAGCATCGGTAAAAATACACCACTCTATGCAAAGTAAAATCAACAGGGATTACAAAAGGCATCAGGTTCCTCAACAGAGCATATATGGTGGATGTAGCTGCTGCAGTGCTCCTCTTTTCCCAAAGGCATAAATGTGTGTCCCAGTTCTTTGAGCAGGGTAAACTCGAGGTTAAACAGCTAGATGTGCAAGTGCAATCCAAATCAGCTATCATCCTAAAAGAGGATTTACCCAAGTCTAGTAAATAGAGATTAGAGACTGAAGATGTAGCGAGCGTGTGGTGCCACTCCGAAGGGTTGATTTATAGCAGGTGACAAAGTGAGCTCATTGAAAAAAGGGCTGTAGTTGTTTGGAAAGCCAGCGGGACTTGTTGTTTTAACATCAGAGGACAAGGGTACAGTGTGCTCAAACACACACAGGCATGCAGATGGCTGGTCATTAATTACAGATGGGTGGGGGAGGGGCTGCAGAGAAGATGGAGTCAGAGGAAACACTCGCTATGTTAATGCTGCAAGCTTTGCTAGGAGATTTCCCATTATTACTCCAAATGCACACAGGAAAACAAAACCTCTTCCCCTTTGTGGTGGATATTGACGTATTCAAATGGTTTAAAAAATGTGCTAAAAAAAATGGCTTAATCTTTAGCATGTGGTTGATGTTCTGGAGTACCTAACTTACCCACTAACACGAACTATTGAAATCCATGAAAATAATTCAATGTTCTCAATTAGTTGTCACATGTTTGTATGTTTTGGCCTTGGTCACATCTATAGATCAGCTTATTCAGCCCTCACTCTCACACTCATTAGCTCTCAATATGTAAAAAATACAAAATGTTTTCTAATAAGATAAAGCCAACATGTTGTGGTCTGATATGTCCACAAAATTTTACTCAAACAAGACTTTCAAACTGTATATGGAACCAAAAACAGATGAGTATTCCTGCAGTAAAAAGTTATATACTGCCATTTTTCCCCTATATAACAGAACCCAAGAAAGAGCGGTCATCTGATGGGCGCCAGTTCTCTCCCTGTCCCAGGACAATTACAACTGACCGGTTCGGAACTTACGCTTAATCAAGGAGTTTTTGTGGCGGTGGGTTACAGCCGCTCTCAGCACTCTGTAGCAGCAATCCGATTAAAGTCCTGCTGCTATGGGGCCTGCTCGCCCTCCACTCTGCGGGGCATACACCCCACCTAGCGCTGCTTCCCAAAGACACACAGACAAAAGCCAAAGTCCCGAATGCATAGAGCTATAGTCCACCTTTGGAGAGCAGAGCGGTGTGTGACCTCTGCACTGACCTCCAATCATCGCTCTGGCTGTTGGCGGCCATTACCAGCGCCCCCTGGGGTTTGGCTGCTCCTCATGGCGGCCTGCACTTAGACAACAAATCTGCTCGAGGATGAGTAATGCTCGGTCCAGAGGGTTTCCACAGCTGATTGATTTAACATTAAGCTCCGAGTTTGTACATATAAGATGGGTTTAATTAACTCACAAAAATGACTGCTAGAATTTTAATTGCAAGCAAAACAGTTCAAAGCCAAGCGAGAATAATGCCATGTTATTATCCCAGGCAAATGGGTCATGGATCTCAAAGAAACTGTCAAAATTACAGGTACTATTACACAATTAGTGATTAGGACTCGGGTAATCCTTGTGATTCTATAGTCCAACAAATCAATCCAAAGAAAAACTGCATGTTACCTAATACTAACAGCCAAACAATAGCACTAATTATAAACCCATTCTATCAGCTCAAAAGCCTGACAGTTTAGACCAGCCGCTCTGTTGATCTCTGACCTAGCAGTAACAAAACACTAACCTCCATGCTGGCTCGAACTATTATGAGAACGAGAACAAAGGCAATAGAGCCCATTAAAAGTCAATTTTACAAAACAGGGTCCTTGTGTCAGAACAATTGAATCATTCAATTTGGAAATAAAAAAAACCAGATCTTATATGTGGATAATGCCATGATGTGAAATGCAACACACTGGTATCAGCTAATCAGCAGATGAATCAGCCACACCAACTCAGAAAATAAAAACTAATTTCTATACTTATTCAGCAAAGGGAGGTAAATCACTCACATTAAGTTAAAAAAAGAAAAATCAATGGGAAACTGGCGACGGTCTGTTTCATAAAATCAATTAAGCATGCTGAAAACATCTATATTTCCATTACCAGCACTATTACACTGCTACGGATTGTTTGGTCCCCGCTCCAAGTTAAGTCTCTGGGCAAGGTGTATGTATTCAACTGACTGTTTAAAAGAAACTAGCCTGACCTCTATTATAAAGATGTTTTTGCAACTTTTCACAATTGGCACAGTGTAATGGCACTAGACACACTTGAACAGCATTTGGCAAGAAGTGCGAGAGTGAGTTATTGTTGTGGATTTTTAACGGACGCTGGCAAAAGGACAAAGCATTGCAAACGGGTACTCACCAATTTAAAATCCTGTATGCTACAAATAAAGTAAGGAGTGTTGGGCCGTCGACTCTCGATGTACACACAATCTGCAAAGAAAGAAAAAGAAACAACAGGAGCAGAGTTAGAAAGAGGATGTTCACACTTCCCCAGAGCTTTCATGTTTTATGCAGACACGCTTTGTAATATATTATTTGTTAGCTCGCTGCTGAAAAGACACTTTTTCCTTCTCGAGTCAAATTCAATTGGAATGCAAGTAATAGGATTAAGGACTTTTCGAGCGCTACAACCTTGCCGTTCCAAAGCAAACATTACGCCCAAGGGGAATTATGTTATTGTTCCACTACATTTATACAGCGAGTGAGCAATGCAGTCTTTTAACCCGGCATCAACTTCAGCCCACTCAAACACAACACCTCTGCTGTCAATATACACAACACTTCACACTTTGAAGTCAGAAAAACCTTAACCCATGTCTCGTAATTAATATGCTTTTCGTAATGCGATATTAATGTCTTAAGTTGTCATTTTGATTTATATGGTAGTTTGTTCAAGGGAACTTAATTACTATTGCACACACATGGTCCCTAGTCCATTCTACAGACTAGTTCAAACCCAACATTGTTTTTAGCTTCACGTTTAGTCCAAATGTGAGCCTTAATTACCCTCTGCCGTACTAACACAAACTAGTCATTGAGAGATACTTTCATAATGCCATCCAGCCAACTTCAGCTCCATTAATCTAGTAATATGGTATCCATAGTAAAGCCCAGCCCCTTTGGAATCCAGTCGTTAACTTTATTCGTATACACTAACTTGTACTTTTGATTGCATGTGGGTATTAATGTACACTAGCTGTGGGGTGAATTCATTCATTCTCACGCATTTTAAAAATATTTTTTTTCCCATGTTGTCGGCCCCTGGACAAGTCTGTAGAGCTAAAGTGGCCCTCTTACTACTGTGTGGACACCCCTGTTTTCAAAGGTTGTCTGAGGTAGCACTTTAAGAGTTTTAGGATCATGATTTAAAACGGTGCCACATTACATAAGACAGTTTAAGCCAAAGTCCCACTTGTACAGTGTCAGGAGAGGCGGCCCGGGGTCGGCTGCTCTGTTAAATTGAATGTGACTGGTGGTATGGCCAGGTCATGAACCCTCATCTCCTTAACAAAAACATTCACGCTGCACAGGACAAAAAACACACAGCCACTTCTACAGAAAGGAGCTCAGCGAACAGGAGGAGGGACAGAGCACACAGGGATAATGGATTCTGTTAAATCACACACGGGACGCCTGAGAAACTACCAAGGGCTACACCTATTTAGGCCCGTCACCATAAAGAATATTGGTTGACGATGAACTGTCCTTGGGAATATCTCAAACGATAATAATGTGCACTGCTTTTTATTAAGATCAAATTTTGAGTAAATAATTAAATTATGCAACAACAACAAAAACAGTGATCTCTGTGGTTTATTCCTCTTCTGCCTGCCATATTTGCTCAAATGTCATCAGTGATCAACGTTTGTAAGAATAATGACACGACACATGCTGATCACAGCAGAAAAACATCTTATCCCATTCTTCACAAAACAAAGTCTCTATTAGCGTCATTAAAGAGCAGTCAATACGAAAACTAATATGTATTGTAGATGGGTCAACATTTGAGTGTATTGGACATTTTTCATCATACAAAATCTGGATCTTCAAAGTCTTGATTAGAACCAATAAGAATACAAAAAGCAGGAGGTTGAAACCTAATATTATTTTAAATTAAATGGAACCAGTTTTCCATTCATCTTTGGCTGCAGCGAAACAGGGAGTTCATGGAATAGCAACATGGACCGAACATAAGAATCAATGTCCATGCAAATGTTTTCAATTTGAACATCACATTTGACCAACTTTGAAGTTTTGAGAGCCACCCCAAAAAATTAAGCTTCTTTAGGAAAATACTTTCAAGTCTTAATCATTTCCATTTGTACAAGTTATGAGCATGCAAACATTTATAATGTATTATAAAGCAGATTTTCCGTTTGCAAGCATGAGGTTAAATATGGGTTATAAATATATACTAGGTTAAACTAATTGAATGAAGCTGTATGATGAAATACTGCAAATACCTAATAAATTATGACCTCATTTTAAATTGTTTCAGGATGGCTCTATTCACGTAAGTATTTAACAGCTCCCAGAATAGCACAGGGCTGTTTTGCCATCATTTGGTGCAGCAGAGCATGGCACCCCTGCCTCGACTAACACACAAACACACATTGAGCTATAAAGAGGGAAAACCACTCTCTCTGCAGCGTGATAGCAGCTCTTTGAAGCATTCATTCAAGTAAAAAAAGGGGAAAAAAAGGAAAACGCCATCACCACCAGCACCGGCAGCAGCATACATAGAATTTCCAGTGACAACAGCTCATTTTATGGAACGCCACGCTGAGAGGCTGTGTGCGCCCATGATACGCTGCTGCTTTTCCCAGAACAAAAGCTGCGGAGATACCTTTTCAGTGACTGACAGTGGCATCATCTGTTATTTATTTGTTTGTGTCAACAGAGCCATCGATCCGGCTGTGGTTTATCTTACCGCTTGTGGAGAAAAGAGGGAAAGGTGGCCATGATATTAAATGGCTGTGTCACCCAAGATAGCATTTGTAGAGGTAGTGTATGCTTATGACATAGCAGGTTTTGTTTTTTGTAAGGTGTGTGCCTGTGTGTGCCTGCCTGCGCTGTGTGTTATCTGTTGAAGGCTGAATGAGCAGTGTGTCTAAAAGGATGAGGAGAAAGGGGAGGGGGCTAAGGTTTATTGCCCCCCAATGTTATATCTCTTTCGCTGCCCTCTCAACTGCTCAGCACTGCTATTCTATATGCTGTCCAAGGAAGTAATTTACAAGATAACATGAATGAAAATATCCATAAGTGTGATTGTGCGACATAGGAAGGGCCAGGAATAGCAGGGGAGAGGCAGTTTGTGGAGAGGGATGGCAAGGAACAAAGGACACTAATCAGAAAGAGCCGACGTGTTTTGGAGGACTCAATCAATCAGTGGATGTTAATCGTTTAAAAAGATCTTTCCAGAGGTTAGCTACACATTCATCTGCAAAGGTCTGGTCTGCTAACATCAGCAGACGGACGAAGATGGCGGAAAATATTAAAAACTCAAAAGGCTGGAGTTTAATCATTTACAGACAGCTACAGCTAGCGAGTCTATTCTTCGAATGTCAAAAGCACATTTTGAATTCATCTTGGTGCTCTCGCTTCCAGAGGGCCATTTGCTCGCTGCGAGTACAATCCCGATGAATGAAAGTTGAACTTGGTGCTGTTGGTTATGATGGAGAGAATCTACGAGGTGTAGGGTGTTCTTGTTGAACATTCCCACCATTTTGTACACGTTGAGAAGTGGGTTTCCAGGCTTAAGTGGAGGAGTGGGAGGGAAGGGCTGTGATGAGGTCTGTTCTGTGGGGGAAGGGTGCATTTGGGTTGGTCCGAAGTGTACTGTATGCATTGAGTTTTACAGTGATTATAGCACACTTGTCCTTATTGGTTAAGTTGAAAAATGTGTGTTGAATGACTTTTTTGTATGCAATAAAATGAGGTAGCATTTCCTGCTTTATAGGTGATTCAAGTTTTCTATTCATACTTTTGTTAATCAGTTACTCATGCAAGAGAACCTACGCACACAGGTATTTAAACACAAATTATAACAATCTTGGAAAGCTGTTAAGTAGTAGCAACTTGAAATATGATCTCTTCTATCACATTTTGAAGACCATTACTCTTGTTTTTTATAGCAGCAACTTCTCCTGTTCCAAAGTTGACCTCTCCAGTCTCAGACACATCGAGCGTGAGCCCTCAGAGTTCAATACTTCGACACGGTGAGATAATCATGAGCCAGCTTGCGTTAGACCCCGGCCCTGCGCTTGAAACCCGAACACTACACTGCAGAGCCTGTTTCTCCAATTACACTGTCAGTGCGGCGTTCATGCATCGTAATACTCTTTGTTGGAACCTTGCGAGGCGCGCACACACAAACAGCTATTTTCTCAGCTGTGGTTCATTGTTCACCCAGCTATTCTCCCTCAGCCGCTGAGCATGTCTAATCTAAAACACACCTCGGTGTGTCCTAATCGTCTGCATCACACCAAAATATGTTTAATCAAGTGCAGTCAAATAAGGAGACGGTGATTAGATGCAGGTATAGGCAGAGCGATCATTTTGCAGCCTTAACTGTTTTAGATTAGCTATTTAGATCATTTCACAAGAATTTCACAAGAATAGTGTTGTGCCCCCAGGCTTATGTAACTGATTAAAATCTTAAACAGGGCAAAGAAGTTAATAGTCAGGACCAATTAAGAATTTGTTGCAATATTACATTTAGAATGATTGACCAATTTAATATTCATAGTATTCACAAAACTTATAAACATGTGCCATAAAAAAATATATGCTCATAGGCTTGATGGGAATTGCAGAAACAAATCACACATCAAACAAAATTTCAAATGCAGAAGGTATTTTGTTTGAAAAAGGGTATATCAACATGTCCTTAGGTAGCATAATTGTCAAATTTGGTAATACATTTTGACTCACAGGCTATTCATAATCCTTTAGACTCAGATTATCAATTAGCAAAATAATAGTCACAGTTTAACTAATAAGTCGAATAGTCGAACAGTATACCGACTTACAGTCAAATTGTGGGTTCTGGGCCAACAGTCACATTTTTATTGCAATATAAAAAAAATGTCTTCAACACAAAATACACAGGTTGCAGTTAAAGAAATAACCTTGTGTGAAAGTATGCCACAAGAAAATAAAATTGAGCCCTGCCGATAAAACTCACTGCTCTGCTTCACACGTGCTACAAGCAACAATGAAAGTCTGAACTGTGATAAATCAGAGGAACAAAGCACTACATCCAGCCATATTTCAAATGAACAGGGGCTTATTAACTAGACAGCAGTGTTTGTTTAGGCCGAGCTCGCAGGTGGTGAGAGCGGGCCATGCGGCGGGACACACCTGCATTGTTAAAAAGTGATACAAGCACATGCACACACAAAAGGCATATGAGCATAACAACAGCGGAG